TAATTTTCAAGGCAGTAAAAACTACTGGACGCTTACAGAAGTGTGAGACAGTTAAGGAAGATGGAGCTAGCAACACCTACACAGGTCATTCTCAACAGCATCACTTAAGTCTTTGTGTTCAGGGCTCGGAGTTCAGCTTTGAGCTCAGAGCAGAGCCTGGTTTTCCTTGGGAAACGCCCATCTAAAGGCCACAGCTTTTTATATATATATAAATATATTCTTGTAATTGCAGCAGCAGCACAAAAACACGTCTGAGACGCAGCAGAGCTCCAGACCCGCATGCGCTAACCATACACTGATCATGGTGAAGTACTGGCCGACAGAAAAAAGTACACTTACCAGCATGCTCTTGTAACATTCAGGGCACAGATGCCACTTGGCTTCTAATACCACAGCGTTATGAGGCTCTTGTGAGAGACAACCCGTGATATTTTTTCCTGCAAGCAGTCAACGGTGATTGATGACTCTATTAGAATGACGGCTATGACTCCATGTTTGCGGTATGGCCCTCAACACCGTGCAAAAAGCAATGACTTAAGGAGCATTTTTAGATCTCAATTCCTCTGATCCAGAGTCAGTATATCCTCTTTGTTCAGAAGCTTGTTATATAGGTCAGAAAAGGCTTGTTTCATGATTTCTCTGGCTTATGAACCTCTGCTTTGACCTGCATTTCTAGAAGAGAGCTAATAAAAGGAAGATTAATCTTGTAGAAGAAATACCATATTCTGACTGCACGTATTCGTACCTAACACACAGACACAGCTGTAGCCCCGGCCAACTGTTTCTCCCTTATGCCAGTTTTTCTCACTATTTTCTACAGGCTCTTGATTGTTTCAAGCATTTCCATAAAACACCAAACACCACAAGGAATTTTCTTACCATTTTAAGACAAAATAGAACAAGTCCAATCCGTTTCCTCCTATGTACCTGTGACTGCCTTTGTCCACTGACTCATGTGATCTTAGCACATCAAGCATTAATTAACAGGATTCTTTTTTTCCACAATATTTACCAAATAAAAATTGCACAGGTGGCATTATTTCCACGTTATGTTATGCATCCACTTTATTATGAAAACCATTTGGAAATCCCCTCATTCTTCCTCTGTTTTCCCTCACTTTCTCTAGTTCTTACTTCACTTTGTTCCCCACAGACCCTTCTTCCTCCCTATTCTATCCTCTCTCCATTTCACAAGTTCTTTCCTCTACCTTTTCCTTGTCTCCAGCCTACTTCTGCCTTCACACATACTTATTTGGACCCATCCTCACTTCAGATCTCTCTCCTTTTCTACAAGAAAATCCCTATGTACTGTCGTGCCTCTAGGTAACAACAAAACAATTTATTTGTGGCTCAATCCTGTATTATGACATCAAACACTCTCAAATGAGATGAAGAAACAACAAATAGCGTGTACGTTTGCCCTGCAAATATATATGTATTTAAACCTGCACGCACATAAACATTGTGGTCTAGGACCCTGGAACCCTTGCAAGTGTTCCTAACACAGAGTCTGCTGCCTCAACCTACAGAGTCATCCCTCAAACCAGGGATTTTGCTCACTATTTCTTTGCTAGTCATTCTCGCAGAAACCTTTGGTTCCAATGTTTAGGCCTCAGACACAATGTATCAACTCAGTCCTTAAAAAAACAAACAAAACCCACCCCAACCCAAACACCAAGGGGTCAGCACTTCCTAAACTGACATCACAAATTCAACCATTGCCCAACAAGAGTCTTGTACCCTCAATGCCAAAAGGACAATTAAAATGGGATGAAATGGGGATGGTGCACATCCCTAGGAACAGAGGCTGGATGCTACTATAGCAATGGCATTACTCCTAATTTAATTCAGGCAGATCTTTAAATTTTTTCAAACCTATCAAAAACAGGTTATATTATCAAAGAATCCATATCTAGCTCATGGCAAATCATGAAGTATTCCACACACAACTCATTTACTGTCGCTGTCTGCTAACAGCTCACATTCGTTAGCGTTCTGCACACAGACCTCAGCTTCCCCTCCATCATCACCTTCTCTGGAATGATGGTTTAGATTCTTGGAGAATTAGACTTACCAACTGGCAGAAAGACAAACAAGACATTCAGAGAAACAGCATATTTTCATGAGGTTTTGTGGCCAGAATGACATTTCCACTCTGGGGAAACTCCTCTACCTTTCCACTTGTGTTACTCCATAAAGCCTGGCCTCCCAGGTCAGATCTGCAGACCTGGAAAAGACCACTCAGCTGTAGTCTGAAACCACATTTGCTCCCTGCTTCCCTCAACTCTTCCCAAGCACCCTTAAGCTTTTGTGCAGTATGTGAAAAAACCCAAAGTACCAGACGTGCAAGTTCTTTCCTCCAGAAACAGTTAATGATTCTCCAGTAACAATCAAGTCACTGGGATAAACAAGCCCACCTAATACAACTTTAGGATCCCACAGCTCTGTGAAAACATTGCCTGGAAAGCCAGCATCCCTGGGTAATGAAGAAAATCCCAGCTCATCTTATTGGAAAGAGACAAAAGGTTCAGAAATTTTCCATCGGAAAGATCTAGAACTCAAGAATTCTTGCAACTTAAAGGCTTGGTCGTAGCGCCTGTTTCACAAACAGTAAAGGTCGTTACACACAGTATTTATTTTCCAAAAACCTGTGTATATTTATTGAACAATTATGAGACCACTGGAAGTTTTCATAATTAGATACTACAAAACGCGATAGGTTTTTATAAAGGTAAAGACAGAAGTTGACTGCAGGACTGAACTAACCAGCTACAGACAGCTGATAAACCGAAGTTTCACTAACATAAGCAGGCAAGTAATGACAGATTAAGACATACTACAACGTACAAACGTATTTGAGTCAAAAAACAACAAGTACAAAGATCGTTCTTCTCACTTCTACTGTTTTAGTTTAGTCTTGTTAGGAGCAGGTGGGCATCTCTTGACGAGAAGCAGCATCATCAGAAGTCTAAGTAGACCTGAAATAAACCAACTGTATTTCAGCAAGCAATGCTTAAGGTAATCGTAGGCAGGTAAAACATTCAGCGTTCCATAAAAGCAGAAGCGTGTCGAAAGCTTTCACTGGTATCAACAGACAACACGTAATAGTTTAGTGATCAAAAAGCTCATCTTGCCAAGTTTTCTTTATATAATACAGCACCATCCTGATGCATTTAAGAAGGCATCGTGCAGAAATGCTGAGTGTTTCAAATTAATATGCAAAAATATCACCATGAAGCAACTATTAGTTTTCTGTCCTAAGTAACTTATTTTTAGAATGAACCAGAGATGACTCAGGCTACCGTAACAGTAAAATACACGCATCGTTCTTAGTGCCCTGAGGTTGGCACCAGCAACTTGTAAATGTCAGAAAAGCATATAAACCTCATTAATGTTTTCAGAAATTCATTTAAAGATAGAAACAGGTCCAAAAAGATGCCTGTCTAAATGCATTGCAATTACGTTACAATTATTTTCCAAATAAACAGATATGCTCTGTCTTTTCTCAGCTCATTACTGACTCAAACAATTTGCCCTTCTGGGATCAATTGTTTGCTAATAAATAATTGTTTGCAGTCACAAAATGATATTAAGGAGTATTCTTATTAGTTTTCCTTCTACAGCCTAATAAGATTCAAAACTAGCTGATTCCCAAGAGTCTAACCTTAACCTCGCTGTGTTTAACAGCCCAGGAAATGATGAACCATCTGTTTCAGAAAATAATGGAGGGCCAAGAGGAAATATTGTTTAATTGTAGATTAACCTCCTCATACGGCAGAGTGAGGCATCTACAGAATTAGCAACCATAACTAGCAGTGAACAAAAATAACTGAAAGCAGCTCTTGCTATTACACGGCCAATAGCAGCAAGTATTCTTTTATCACTTTTTGTTAAAAAAAACCTCCCAAATGTATGTAACAAGAATAACCTGATTGTAAAAATAGATTTAAATTATCATCTTTGGATTTTTTTTTTTTTTTTAACTTGAGGAAGCAGCAGAAATAAATACTGGAATAGCTCTGGTTTTATTTTTCCATGAGTATCAAGATTATTTTAAAACAAACATCTCCAAGTGAGAGATGGTGTATTTATTCTTCCCTAACTTCCACCTCACATCTCCACAGCGACGAAATGGCTGCTCCGAGGCAATATCCGTGTCACCTAAGGGAGGGGAGGCAAGGTCTCGAGGTTTTATACTCAAGAACTTTGATCACTTGTGCGCCTATTTACGTAGCCACTTAGACAGTGAATAATGGAGACAACCAGATAAAGTGTGAGACATTTTGAGTACTAAAAGAAAAAAAAAAATAGCAACGACAAACCACAGGAATTGGAAAATAAGAACTGCTCCTGTGCCAGCATAATGCAGAGCAGGGTAATTCTGCACTGTGATGGCAATTTTTCTACGTAACAGTCAAAGCGAGCTTAACAGAAATCTTTTACCTCCATCAATCAGTTTGCCCCATTTTGACAGCAACAATGATAGAAAAGTGTGTTATCAGAGGGCTGCAGCAAACTCCAGTACACAGGCACCGAGAAAGCTTTTCCTTGATTTTACACGGCCTTCCCAGAGCAGCACCTAGACTTACTTCAGGCTTTGACAGCTGGGTGCACACTCTGTGCGTAAAGATTTCATTAATTCTAGGTCTTAAATATCCAAACACAGTAAAATTTACTCAAATAAACTATGCTTGAATTCTTCACTTAATTCTTGAAGCAATGAGCTAGCAATAATTCCACAGCTTCATATAATAGCACCTATTCAAAAAGGATGAGGGTTTGACATTCTTCTCCTACGAAACAACTAGGCACAATTTTATCCATCAGACGTCTATCAACCTACGGATATTGAAAGCTTGGGCGAACAAGATAAAATCAAAACCAACCCCACTGTCAAGCTGCACTATCTCCTGGCATCAATAATGCTATTCATGAGTTTAGGAAAATTAATAAATCTGGGGATGAATGCTCAGAAAGGCTCAACCACAGGTGAAGCATACTCACTTAGGTTTTGTTTCTGCATCTGTCACTTGGCGAATATAGATACCATCTTCAGGATGTTCGATGTCATCCATCTCATACATATACGAAGAAGCTATTGCAAGGGTAGTTCCATCGTTGCTGAAGGCAAGTGATGCTATGCTCGTGGGATACCGATGGAACTGACACAGCCGCTTTTTATTAAACGGATCCCAGATATTTACAAAACCGTCGGAACCTCCTGAAAATTAAAATTTGGAAAAACTGTCTGTTAATTATAACCGGGAGAGCAGCAACACTGCAAAGATACAGCAAAGGGGAAAAAAAGAGAAAACTACCTGGACAGACTTTGTCAGGAAAAACACAGCGTTACAGAGAGGTGCATAATTCAGTAAAGAGCAGAAATATTCCCCAAAATCACTGTTAAAGCAATTAACTCATTGCATCAAATAATTTAGAAACTCTGCTCATTGCAACAAATACGATTTAAACACTTAAAAAGGGCACGGGAAGTAAAGGCTGACTTGTTTAAATCAAAACTAAAGGAACTGATGCAAGCTGTTACAAAACATTGAGTATCCACTCTACCTGTAGCAAATGTGTTGTGGACATTATGGAAAGAAATAGCATTAACTGGATAAATCTGCTCAATGTTATTTTCCTTCAAACGGTGACATTTGAATGCATATTTCTTCTTCTGGATTTCTGGACTTGGATCCAAATATTCCACCGCAACACGACCTTCAATAGAACTTAAAACATAACCCTACCAAAAAAACGTGGAGATACGCATTTTAGAAATTTACAACTGGAGAAGAGATTGCAAGACAATTTGTCTTATACCCCGCTAAATTCAAATAAATTAAATGTAAACAGTTGCTAATTGTGTACAACCAGAAAGTGTTAACACAGATCCCCAGCATCATCTGTAAGATCTGCTTCTAAGCAGTAATGCAGAAAAAAAGCTTTCCGAGAGACTCTCATTGCACCATAGGTTTAAGCTAACAGCGAGGCTTTTAATTACCCCTGCAGGTCCAAACACAAGTTGATTTGGGGAAAAAAAATTGTCAAGAAGCGCTTGCTAAGGCCCACCTATCCCCCAGGGACTAAACGTCTCAAATATCAGCGATGCTCACGGGACTATTTAGTTTCAGAATTGCATTACATTAAAACTGGTTCAGAGTGTTATACCAGCAACTAAACACGGAAGTTGAAATAGTATTTTCAGTGAAACTTGGTTATAAGTGGTGTCCACTTATCCAGTTAATTACAGCTCTGACTTCAAGCAACCTGAGATGCTTTTATTATAACTTCTGAGTTAAGCTCATAATAGATCTTTTTCAGAAATAGGATTGTAATGATATCTAGCTATAGCCAGGTTCTTTAAAATCCATAATAGAATATAATCTAGAAAATCAGCTTGTTTTACTATAACTGGAACTGAAAAGGTACAAAGCGTTCATGCCAGTTCAAGAACAAGCAACGAGGCCTCCCAACTCCTGTACTACCACTGTGTACACGGTAAAATTCCCTTCCAAATTAGTTTGCCAGAAAAAGCTAATCTTTGTCCTTTACTTCAGAGAAATACCACAGACACAGCTGTTCCATGTAGGTTAACACGGTGCAGGCTCATCTAAATTGTACAATTCCCCCTCGATAATGGATCACGAGTTCTTGAGTGTATGACACAGACTCAGAGTTAAAAAGAAAGAAAGAAAAACACATAAACAGCTCATGTAGTTTTAACCCTGCCCCTGCACACAGCCTGTTGAAGAACCTAGGGCTACAGTGCATAAAGGCTGTTGAGCAGTCACCAGTTCTGTCTTCCTCTCTTCTACTGCAAATTCGTGGAGTTTTGGCTGCTTTTTTTTTAATTACGTCAGCATTGTGATGCATTAAATAGGTTATTTTAAAAAGGAGACAAAAGTAAGGAAAAAATAAAACCATAATATGCTGGTAAGTCAGTAGCAAACATTCCTAAGCCTCAGTATTTAAAAGCGTTAACCTCAAACACCATTTTCCCCCACCCCCAGAATTTGATTACAAAACTTTGAAGACTAGATTTTTTTTTTTTTAAATTACAGAAACACGCAGAGAACCCATCATTTTTCCTAAAGAATATTCAGCAGAAACGTAATTACCGACATGGTTCCCGTACCTGTTTATTCGGAAACGCTCTGATACAGCGGGTCTGGTACTTCAGGCTTGATTCTCTTCGCTGCTGAACATAGCCCATGTTGCGTAAATCCCACACCAGCACTCTCCGACCTGCTGTCCCCACAATCAGTCTATCTCCAGACACAGAAAGCGTGTAGACCTTTAAAAAAAAATATTACAATATTTAAGTTATCAGCCTGGATATCCGCTGCTCTTTGTGGAAAATAAAATGTCAGCAATATGCAATACCAAAACAGGTGACATCTACAGTAAAGTCTATAGCTGTAGAATTCCCTTTAGGTTCAATTCATAACTTAAATTTGGGATAAGCAGCAGTAGTGTGCAGCTGGTTAGCGATAGGACACTGACGTAGCATTTCAAAAGCTCACCATTAATTCTGTACCCCAGCACAGAGCTGAAAAATCACACCCAACACAGCCCCACGCTGCCCATAACTAATGTAGGAAAAAATTAATATGCACTTGTGCAATTCTACATTTCAAGTATGTTTGCTCAGTTACAAGTTTCCCCATCTCAGTGGCATCTAAATGATCCTCCACAGAGTAGATTTCTTCCTGCTGTTGGTATTACCCATGTTCTAGATGCTAGATGTGTACGGAAGCATTTATGGGTAATTCAAAAGGGAAATCAATATTATTCAAGTTTTCCTCAAGTATTACATTTATTGGATATTTCCAGGCAAGAGGAAAATAGATACAAAGTATTAGGGGTGGAAAAAAAGGGGCATGGAGACTGGAATTCATCTTTGCTTGGTATGCATAGCTTGCACTGCCCACTATCAATTCATGATCCTGCAGTTCAGTCCTACACCACCACATCCCACCTTTACTTCCCGCTTTTCCTCCCTCTGGTAACAGCAAGTTTCTTTTTAAATAAAATACTTCAAGCTGAGCTTTGTGTTAACAAAGCAAAATAAATTGACAAGAAACCGTTAATTAAAAAAAGTACCTTGTACACTTTAATAAAACTAAGTGAAGCAATATGCTGGCCATCATCAAGAACTACTATGGCTTAGAATTTCAACTCTCCTCCAAAAATTGGCTCAGAGGTTTTAATTTTTTTTTGTTAATCAAATTTCTCATTAAAATATTCAGCATATAAATTGTTCTGCTTCTCATGCAGCTAAACATATAGGAAACAGATCTTGTACACCCCTCAGCTCAGGAATCGCACGTGCAAGAGATCTGGTATCCTGCCAGGAGAATTCAATTAACTTTTGGCACCTGGTTGTATAATTTCACACAAGCACCCAGTTTCACTTTCTGGTTCTCTGATAAAGCCCAATAAAGCTATTCAGTTCTTTTAAAACTGCACTGAACTATCAGCCAAAACTTCTCATTGTCTGCTATAAACATTTCTGGAGAAATTACATTTTCAAAAACCTAATTTCTAATAAAAAAACTAAGCCTACAGGTGTGTGTATATGTAGAAATAAAACTTCCTTGGACCAATCTACATTCACTCAGCATGCATTTTTCTCTAAAAGTGATCATTGAACTTCCCTAATAAGACTGAGGCATTAAGACAGGAAATACTTTAAATGTTCGCATAGGAGATGCCTCAGGTTTCTAATGATCCCAATTGCCAAATCCCACTTACATACAGAAAGGGCAAGAAAACTGAGCCAACAGTAGTTACACGCTTTAACAAGACAGTTTTTCAACTCTCACTTCATTACTGATGTAAAAATTGATCCAAAAGTATTAATAAACATTATATAAAATGCGTTTGAGTACATGTACAGAAACAAATGCATCAAGAACATTAAGTATCTTAAATCTTCTTTACAAACTGATGTCACACCTGTACAGTAAGTATTCTTTCTACACCACACAATCATAAATCAAATGAAACCTTTGTCATGCAGTTGAGTAGGTGTACACATTTATCAAAGGCAGTATTAAAAAAATGACATAATGAACCTTGCTGAACCAATAAGCAGCTTGATTCACTGGGGCTGTCCATTATATGATATTCTGTCAGCAATTTATCACAGTTCTTTACATGCTACACACAACTATAAATCAAAACTAGAAATAATGCAATTACTTTATTCTGAACAAAGGTCTTGCAGAAGCAGATTCAGCTAGGTTGTAACAGAAGTAATAGCTATTTAGATGCAAGAGGGAATGCAACAATGGTTCGTAATTATGACTTGACAATACGATGTGACAGAGCTAAATAAAATTTTAGAAAGGTACAGGGGAAAAAGAATATATATATATGCATATGTACAATTATCCAGCAACCCAGGCTGTGTCTGGCAGTCCATGAGGTAAGAAATTGTTCTATGATTCTTCCAGTGACACAGCATTAAGATTAACACAAAATATAACCATTAGAAAAAGCTTAAGATACTACATTTTACCTTATTTCTCTTGGTCTCTCACTAGCACAGAGGAATTTAGCGTTAGGAGAACATCTGAATTTACTAGGCATTAGTACAATGACAGATAAACTGCAACACGAGCAATTCTGCTCAGTCTTTTAATACCAGTGACAAAGCAAAATATTATTTCAGGCAACATAATTAGCTTCCTACTATATCTCCATTTCAAAAGGATCGGACCTTAGGACTGCCAGGATCTGATATAGCTGCAAGTCTTACTCTTTAAAGAAACAGACAGTGCGTATTACAATTACGACAAGGATTATTAACAACACTTCAGTTTCACATGCTTTTTGTTCAGCTTTCCTTCCTCAGGTTTGTTTCAAATTGTAAGAATTTGGTCCATCACAAGTGTGAAGAATTAAGTTATGCTCTCCTACTGATGAAAGCTCGAAGACTTAACCTAAAACTCGCCATATATATTCTGAATATTTTAAAAAACAACATTTTCATATCTTAAAAACCATTCAATGTAACTTCTCAAAATTCAGTTTGGTGTCCTCTATGGTGACCTTTAACCAGTCACTGAATGTTTTATTTAACATGCCACCTGGAATACAGCATCCAGTCCATACCTTTTCAGGTTGAGAGAAGGTTCCTGCATTACAAGGAGTTCTGGGGTCCCACAGTTTAACTGTTTGATCCCAGCTTCCAGTCACCATGACATTCACTTCTGGACAATACTCAACACACCTGATAGGAGCATCATGGGCACCAACGAGGTTCTCTGTAGGAAAATACAACATATTGTAACTTTACTGGCTCTAAAAACAGCCAGAGCATGTTGAATAAAGAATAAAAAAAAGGACACACTACTGCGGTACAAACACACTATTTGCTGACATCCCCACAGTGCACTGATGTGCCAGGAGTCCCTTTAAGGTCAGTTCAGTCTCCAGAAGCGTAACTTCTGCAAATATTCAGAATACAAAATTTAAACTTATGTCTCCAGAGATTATGAAAGGAAGTGAAGAATTTGAGGCAGCCCCAGAGATACCTTCTGAAGTTGAAGTGTTCACTACCAAATGGTATGGCCGCCTGTGACACAGACACTAATACACAAAGTGGCCTAAGCTATGACAAAAGAAGGGAATTACTACATATTAATAAAATATTAATATAAACAGTTCCAGAAAGTCATCTCTAACAGCATTATTTGACCTTTTTCCAACATTACTGCACACACAACTTTGTCAAGCCCTGGCTATTGGTTGGTTCTGATGACCACATTTGTCTCAGGCTGATATCCACCTTTCTCTGTAACATGCGTGCAAACACAGAAAAAAATTAGGCAACCTAGCTCTGTATTTTGCAGTAATGAGGTACTGGAACTGTGCTACTTCTGAGCACTGTTTTGTTAGAAAATAATGCAGTATAAGGCCAAAAGCAAAAGCATTATATACAGTCCACCATCCATGTGAAAGACCACCCTAAATATGTCTAAACCACAAACTGTTGAAAAATAACACTTTGACTTTTAGTTCAGCTTAGTCAATTTCCCCTAACTGAGACACAGTAGCCTATGGCTTAAAATAAGTACACAAAAAGGACATACACGTAAAATACATCAATGAATATTCATTGAGGGAAAGTTTAAACGCCCGTCTGGTAGCAGCAGATCCGGCCCTTCTGTTAAAGGTGTTAGGGCACGATCTCCAGTTCCACAGTAAGGAACACTGCCTTGTTCAGTGCCTCGGTGCTCACGAAGGGCTGCGCAGCAAAGAGACTGCTGAGCACTGACAAATAACAGAGGCTACTACTTAATGCAAACATCACCCAGCTAAAAAGCTGGAAACTTATTGTGCTCGTGTGAGTATAAGAGTGTCAAGCTTAGGCCAGTTGTTGAGACCACTCACAGAATTCAACCTGCTTACCTTGGTCCGTGTTTAAGTCGTGCATTTTCAATTGCTGATCTAATCCTCCACTCCAGGCATGGGTAGGATCCTATAAAGCAAAAACATTCACCTTACCTCATGCCTTAAGTTTCCCTAGCTACTACACATTTAATCTCCTAGGCTCATAGCACAGGACTTGCTTTCAAGAGTTTTGGGAAGATGGGAATTAAGACATGAGGGTAAGATCAGGACCAGATCTAAACAAGGAGATGAAAGAAGCTTTGCAAAACATTGAAATAAAGGGGGCAATTTCTATTTCTGTAACAGTAAAACACAATGCTGATTTTTAAATGACCATAAACCACCTAGCTGAAGTGTGTTCCTTCTAAAACCAGTTTGGAAACTGACAACCATTAGAGAACCTACGTGTTGATCCACATTATGACACTAGCTATGTGACAAAAAAGTCAGTGAAAAAAGCACAAGTATCATTAAACATTTAAACCGACCCTTAAAACATTCAGTAACACCTCAAGATCAAGTCACCAGAGGACATGCCAGAATACAATGCAAAAAAAAAAGAAGGCGCTAATTGAAACCTTTCATTTAAAAAAAAAAAGGGGGGGGGGGCACCAATAAATTTAAGTCATTCATGTTTCAAATCCACTGCATTAAAAATACAGTAATGAAGTATCTGGTAAGTGACTCACTTGGAACAATGCTGCGTTTCCAAAACAACCCAGCATGAGAAGGTTAAGAAGAAAAGAATAATTGGCTACAGGGATTTACAGCAAACAGTGATTTCTGGCTATATTACTAGCAGTCCGTCTCTCAGTAAACACACATACACAATTTACCATACCCTTGCAGAAACAGCATAAATCAGCTCAAAATTATTTTTGCCTACCACTTCTACCAGCAGAAAGTTACTTGTGTGCTTGCACCCTTCACAGGAAATATCCGTGTTTAGGACTAGAAGGATATTCCTTAAAAGAAGACTAATTGGCAGAAATAAGTTGTTTAACATGAATTTCAGGTGGGATTTCACTATCCCTTTAATTTCAGGGACTGATAATTGCTCATGTGCCTTGGGCAGTATACGTCTATAAAACAGCAATTTAAAAAAGACACCTCACACACTTACATAAAAAGCACAGTCAAGGACAGCTCCTGAATGCTGATACTTGAGTCTCATAGTGTTGGCAGGAACATCATAGAGCCGGACAGTCGTGTCCCAGGATGAAACAAGCAGAAACTGAGATGTATTTGGACTAAACTTTACTGATGAAATACCATCATCTGGAGTTTGATTTAGTTTGAACTCATTTGATCCCGTCATCTGAAGAAAAGACAACAACACACAAATACAATTTTAATAATAACAAGAACATAAGCCTAGCAAGTTAGTTGGCTGCCTGACCCATCTTAAGGGAAACTTAAAGTAGACCTGAAACGCTCAGTAGTTTTTACACAGAAAAAGTTCAGAACAACCAGTTCTGACAAACTCCAAAATTCAAGACACTAATTCCTGTCCAAAACCTCACTAAATTCCTCCCCCTACAGAGAGCTTTGAAATTTAAACAGAACACGGAATAAGCAGTAGAAAAATTTTATTTTTATTGTTATTATCTATAAGCTTAGCTGTTGTTACTTACAAATGTATCTTTCCTCCACTCTACCACATATGTGGCTGTATTTTTAAAAGTAAATATTTATAAATTACTTTGCGCGTCAGTAAGTTACTTTAAAAAACAAATGCAGACAGAAAGGAATGTGATTTGAAAACTGCAACAAAAAAAAAACCACACATTGATTTGTCATGACTGTCATATACTTCCAAGTAATTAGATCATCTTTTAAAAAGTTTCGGGCTCTCTGCAACTTTCCAATCCTTAGGCTTCCATAAATACTATAAAATATTTCCTCAAGAAACAGCTTTAAGATTTTTTTTTTCCTCTCAGAGTCTGAAGAAGATCAAATAAGAAGGGAGAGTTATGTTTTGTATGATACTGAAACACAGACCAAACATATGAATGTGATGTGACAGAAAAAAGAAAGTCTCAGCAACTCAATGACAGATCAATAAATGAAGGTAACTGCAGCCCGCACGTCATGGGGCTGGATAGTTGTATACACAAAAACTCAACAGACAGCAAAGGCTTTGAACAGCAACTTCCAGCTGGGAAGACAGTATAGACCTTATAATAAAAAAATTATTCTTCTAGTGTTTTTTATGTACACCAACAAAACCGCCAAAACTTTATTTAAGGCTTCAGAAACCCTTAACAGCATATTTCCCTTATGCCAAAAGGACAGAGAAGTAAATTAGCTGAGATTTTCTATAATGTTACCACTCTCGAATTTGTATGTACAGCTACAGAGGTAAGATCAGACCTCTGAGAATAAATCACGAGAGAATGAGCAGATGAACTAGGACAAGGTTCAAATGTAGTGCACAATTATTCCAGCTCAGCACCTGTCAGTAACTGACCAATCATCAAGTTGTATAATGTGAGCACTACACATTCTTACACTGGAAAAACTCCCTAAGTGGGAGCGTTTGGCTGGTGTTCTGTAAGGCATCCTTCAAAAAACTCCCCACTGTATAAACACAGTGCTACTTCTGCTATTTAAACATGAAGTGAGGAGGAAAAGACAACTCTAAGAATAGGAAATAAAAGCTTCCTTTTAACCTCTTGTTTCCGCTTTGCTTTGGGAATGCTTGGGCAAAAGAGACGTGCTTGAGAATTTGCCACGCGTATTTCTATATGAATACTGTCGAGAATTCGGCAGCACCTTCACCACACTTTAAACGGTGAAGTGTACCCATGAGTATTTCAGATGGACGTACAAAGTCACAAAACCTAAAGGAATTCAAAGCAACTGTGTGAATGCGTCTGAACTTGACAATCGCCTCATCCACTTGTGGCAGTAGACTGAAACAACAAGCATGAGGATTTGAAGCTCCTGGTACAACAGTTACAAACCAGCCCAAAGGCAGTCAACAGGCAGCACTCCAGGAAGCAAAGTTACTTATATAAGAAACCAGGAAGGATCTCCCAAAGGTATTTTTAATCCAGAAAAATTTATAAGCTATCAGAATTTAAATATAACCTACCTTTTACATATGCTAACAAATTAAACAAAAAATCACACAAAGAACTCTACACGTTTTCATAAATGCAACTGCTTCACAGCCGGGCTTGCCAAACAAAAGTAACTGTCATGCCCACCTCAAACAACAAAGTCCCGGTAAAACGTTCCAGCACGACAAGAGAAATCACACGACATTACAGGGAAGATGCATGCTGCAGAAATTGCGATGCTGACGTAACTACAAGGCGCAACTTTGCAACTCCCATCATTCCCAAAAGCTCGCTTACTTTCTGCACAGATAATAAATCAGTGCTCTTACGGTTCCTCTTAACATGGCACAATCCATAATTTAGCTAGACGTTAAGCATTTCTCGAACAAAGCAAGCCAATTTGTTGAAAACGTCGGACAACGAGTCTGCACTTTCATTCAGAAACATTAAAAGTACCGTTTTCATGTTGCACAAGTTCCTCTCGCTGCTCCACACAACGCAAAAGAAAAGCTTTCTCCCCGCAGCGGCCTAGGGAAGCACTGAGACGTCAGAGGCGCGGCTGCTCTCGCAGTCCCGTTCCGGAGAAGCACGTCGGGATGCGGCAGATGCTGCCGGCTGCGGCGGGAAGGGAAGAGAGTGAGGGAAGGGCCCGAGTAACGAGGGAGGGCCGAGGAGAGGCGGCGGAGACACTCGAGGCCCTGCCGGGAAACGGACGGGCAGCCCCAGGAGGGCGTGAGAGGCCTTGGCGCCCGGCGCTGCCGATGGGAAAC